AAAGGAATTTACAAAACTTTTCAAATCACTTCAAAAGATTATCAGTGAAATTGATGGGCCACATTTTTCAATTGCGTTTGAACTCTCAAAGAACTGCAAGTATTGGAAATGGCCGATGGTCCAATCGTTTTTGAAGAAACAAGAGTTGAAGTTGTATCCATTCCACGGTTGCCAGTTTAGGCTTGTTGACTTGGACGGGAACCCAATGAAAAAGGGTTGGATGATTGCAACAAACATGGAAGAGTTGTCAAGTCTTTCAGAATACGTTTGTGACGGTTCTCACACTCATGGTCAAAGCCGGGGTACTGCATTGAAACTTGCAGAGAACTACACATTCACTTTGACTGACTTTATTCATGATTGTTTTCGTTCCAGAGCTAACCAGGCACAAACCGCCAAGAACAGGAAAAGGTTAGCATTGCCCGCCATGAGCCGCCGTTCTGATGATTCAAATTTGACAATCACTGAAAAGATGAACGCACGTGCTCTCAAGTCGGCCGGTTTAAAAACCGTGCCCCAACAAAGCAACATGTCGGAGTGGCTTGCTTTTCGGAAGTGCCTTGATGTTCAGGGGGATAGGCACGCAGGGTGGGAGGACATCTTGTCAACGGTCCTCGCTTCGTCGACGATCCTGGCGCAAGGAAACAGGACGGAAGACCTTGAGATTGCCGCAGGATTAATGCAATGTTTCACTGCGCAGTCCATGTCAACTGACGCCCTGACCAACGTGCCGTGGGCAGAGGAGATCCGCCATCTGTCCGAGCTCGAGCACGACTCGCTGTGGGATCTGAACTTGCCTACTGAGTATGTCCCTGGAACTTCAAGGCCGGCGGTAGACGTCGTGCCCACCATCTATGTGGTGACTTCCGATTCAACTTTGGCTCTGATCACTGGAAAGGGTAGGACTTTGAAGAAGTACACCTTGAAGGAGGACCTGGCATTGCGAAAGTCGGACATGGTCCTCGAAATCGGTCATGACATGCTCTGGGGAAAGGATTTGCAACAGCTCTGCAAAGCAAATATTTCCATGATCAAGGAGTTGATGGCGAAGTATGCTTCTCATGGATCAGCCATCAGGGTTATTTCGGTAATCGTTTGGTCTGGGAATGAAATTTGTGGGGAATATGGTGTTGAACCCCTTCCCATTTGGGGGCAGAGGGAACCACAGGGCGACTGGAATGCCATCATGGACAGGGTAAAGGGCAACATTGTGTGGTGGAATCAGCAGCTCAAGGACTTGGGAGTGGATCAGGCCGCCCTAATCGGCGAGCCCGACCCGCTCACTTATGGACTGAGTCTCATTTTTACCACATTTGTGCAGCGTTTGAAGGAATGGTTCTTCAACGAGATTGCCAGTGACAACGATCGGATCAGGTGGATTCAAAATGATAAGCTTCCACCGAGGCTTGAGCTCAGGGACTACTTTCACGCATTCGAGACCGAGCTCAACCGAAGTGAGATGATCGGATACGTCATGGCAACTCTCCACATGCTGCACATGACAGACATTTTGGTGCCCCAGTACAACCTGTCTTTGTACAAACGAAGGCGTCCTGCGGGGGAAGCTACGATGCGCGACATCCCACCAAAGATGGAGCATCTCCCAGTCAGGTTTGTGCAGGTCCTCACCGCTCTACGGGAGAAAACGAACAAGTCTGCGCCAAGCGTTTCGACCCCAGAAAGCTTGACGGCAGAAGAACTGAGAGACCGCCCAACTGACGCTGGTGTTGCCGATGATGATGATGAGGAAGGTGACCCATGGGATGCACTGGATGCAAACGAGTATGAGGGCCCATCAGTGGGAAAGGCGAAGGCCAGCCATGCTGCTCCTCCGGACCCCGCAGCGAAACCTCAGCCGACACAGGAGGATTCAACTCAGGCCACCTCAACTGGTGAGCCCATGCAAGAAAACGAGATCAAGGGTACAATCATTCCAAAACATGCACTTGGACACCTTGACAAATATCGTATCATGTTGGACGAAAACATCAATGCAGAAGTAGTTGAACATTGTGTCGTTGATGCCCATCCTTACGAATTGATCGTCAAAACCTGTTGGGAGATGGATGGGGCGAAGGAGCTGAGGTACCCAGATCGCATGGACCGACACAAGACCAAGGTCAATGCTGTGACTCGTGGACAGCCAGGTCAGGACACCTCTGGATTTGATGAAAACATGTGGCTTGACCTTGATGACTTCTTTCGAATGTTCAATCAAATGCTGCCAGCCAAGTTACCCCGAATGAAGGTTGAAGAGCTCATCTCCCTTCTCTACTGGGACAACAAGTGTCGTTTTGAGTTCCAGTGCATTGCAGGATACCAGAAGGCAACCCGTAAAGGGTTAGCCTACTGGCCCATCAGGATCCGTGCAGTGCAAGGACACACAAAGCGTGCCATGGATGCTGCATCAGCTGATGATGCATTCAATGCGGTGGGGATCTATGCACTGTCCGGCGCTGCAGCCATTCAGAAGATGAACGCCAAGAGCAAGAAGATCACAACACCGCAGATGTGCCCAGGCGTAGTCTACCACAGGACTACGAAAGGCAATTGGAAGGGGATCATTGAGAACGATTTCTTGGCTGGAGGAGGTGAACGAAATTCATCAGGCAGGGCACACTCCTATTTTAGTGAAGTGCGTGTCGACGAGAAAGAGTACATCAGCGGCCTACGTGCTGAGCGACCCATTGAAATCCGGGTTGCAATGGCTGAGGCAGTCAAAGCTGGAATTGTGTTTTTCAGGACCGCCTCAGACGGCATCCTCGCAAGCGATGTCGTGCCGCCTCAGTACATCATTTCTGTTGATGACACTGCCAAAAAGGTGAATTTGTATCGTCGCCACCAGGAGGTGGCACATTCTGCAACGAGCAGTGGGGGAGAGATCGGAGTCCAACAGCTTGTCGAGACCTTTGAGGCCAAGGCATCAAAACGAGCTGGATCAAAGTCTCCGGCCGCCTCAACTGGCGCGCCCACTGCAACAGCATTTTTCCCAGGAAAGGTGAAGCCTCCGCCACCGAATGTGGCTCAACTCGCTGGTATGCCTGGATATGCAAGTAGCATATTGTTGCCTCCCCCTCCAAAAGGCAAAGCTCCGAAACCTCCAGCAGCAAAGGTTGAAAGCCCAAAGACGCCGCCAAAGGCACCTCCAAAACCACCATCGAAGGAAGGGACTTCTGCACCTCGAGCACCAGAAGTTCCAAAAGCCGTGACCTCAGAGGTTGATGCATCAGCAGAAGGAGAACCTGCAAAGAAGAAAGCAGCCCTGACAAGCGTGCCCGCAGCTGTGCCTGCGGCATCATCAGCTGCGGCCTTCTTGGAGCCAGTGTCAAAGATTGCACCGCCAAAGGCAGCGCAGAAAGATCCAAAAGCTCCAGTGGCAGAGTCACCTTCAAAGACGCCGGCATCAACATCCAAGTCACTTGTGCCAAAGCAGAAGTCTCGCCCTAAAGGCGATGACCAACCTTCGAAGAAAGAGGAAAAGAAGGAGGACAAGAAGCCGGTGCCAATCAAGATTGAAGTCACGCAGTGCACACGATGTTTTGCTCAGACCTTCAAAGGGCAGATCGAATGCGATGTGTGTGGTTTGATGCTTGAGGGGGTGAACAAGGCCGACCGGACCAAAATTGCAGAGCGAAGGAAGGCCGCCCTTCACAAGCTGGGCTTGTTCTACGACTTTCGTGGCGAGTACCTGCAGAGCATCACACACAATCAGCTGGAGTCTATGGGTTTGTTGGACGACCAGGCAAGGGGGAGCTCTAGCCCAGAAGCTGATCTTTTGAAGCGGGCAAAGAGCCGATTTGATCGTGCCCTGAGCTTGGGTTATGTGTCCGTGGCAGACAGATTTGCCCAGGACGCCACATTCGCAGAGAGCGTGCTGAACGAGGGGGAGAACGAGTACGATTGCCAAAGGTACGATCTCCTCAAGTCTGCACATCTGCCAAAGCCAGGTCGTACAAAGGCTCAGGTCAAGATGGGTGTTTCCGAGCAATCTCAATTGGAGCACAATGCAATGAGGTTGGTTTACTTGGATCTTGCAAGCCGTCTTGACGTCCCCAAGTCCTTCAGGTACATTGATCAGCCGTGGTTTTACATGTACCGGACTGAAATTTACTCTGAGGAAGAATACATCGACTATCTGAAGCGAAATCCTCAGCACAATCTTTTGTTGTCGTGTACTGGCGTTGACAACATTGCTGTTCATGACGCTGAACGGCATTTGAGGTGGATTAAGGGCCAAAACGAGGAGCTGTACAAGCAGAATGCTGAGGAGAAAAAGAAACAGTCTGACAGGGCTCGCGAACAGAACGAGGCCAAGCGCAAAGCTGAGCAGACTGGGGCGTACGGCCAAGGGCCCTCAAAGAAAGGCACCGCTAACCCGGTTGCCCGAACATCCACTGTAGAGGTAGCTTCATCATCAACGTCTGCAAGGCAGTGGATCAACCGCCCTCAGCAAAGTCAGTCCCATGGTGATCGCCGTTACACTGGAGAATGGCAGAAGTGGCACGGGCGCTGGTATCAGAAAGTTATCAGGCATGGCCGAGTCGAATGGGAAGAGGGATAAGTTGTGAAACTGCTTGCATTGACGATCGATTTTTGTACAATAGCCGCCATGTTGGGTTTCCTCAGGTCGTGCAAAAGAGCCAGGAGCGGTAAGGCAGACCGAAATGGTCTCGCCCTGGTAAATGGGCAGCCTTGCCGTGACCGGCTCACCTGAGGGGGGTGTAATTGCACTCCACCACAAACCCTATGTAAACTAGCACATGTACGACAGCTGCTGCGGCTTCAAGGAAAAGTAGTGTTGCCGCAGGTGCTTAACGGTTGTTATTGTTTTGCCCCATAGGTTTATCAGTCCATTTGGGTATAACTAGGTTAACCCTTGCTGAAGCCTGAAAATACAGTTTCGCAGATTCAGTGGAGCGGGCACGTGGTTGTTGAATGTTGTTGACTTGTATATATATATATTATATAGCAGACACGGTCAAAAGAAGCTGCTGCCGCAGGCTGTTTGATGCTGCACATTGCACCTCGGCAGTTGATACGATAGCGCAAGAACATTCACCATTATAACTTGGCAACAAGTTGAGTAAGTCAACAGATTGCTAGACGTCAGGATCACTCGTTCGGGAAGGGCCTTGAAACAATCAGCAACCACTTAGGTGCCAACCACATCTCCATGTTCCAAGGCTTCAATTGTACGAATTTGATTCCCATGTATGCTGAAGGTGTCGCTGATGGACGAAACTGACAAAACCCAACCAACACCAAGAACCAGCAACTGACCGTTTTATTTGGTATACACCAAGACAGCTCTGTTAGTTGAGCAGGTTACTTAATGGTGATCTACCACTGAACTCGCCGTGAGGCCCTGGTGTCTCGTGCCGATATAAGCTACCTCCCATATTTGTATAGCTTTGCCGTTGTAAGATGTTCCATGTCGTAACCTGCCGCTTTTTGACACTTATTTGTTTCTTGTTACTCAGAACCATTTGAAGATTTCTTTTCAAGTTACCGGCGTTCTTCTTGCCACGGTGAGGGACCTGCCGTAGCGCAGGTCCGGCATGCACAGTCTGTGAGCTCACGCCGACTCTGGGCCTGGCCTTGAGAAAAGGTGCGCGGATGGTTTCAAAAATGAACGAAGTGGCCCAAAATCAAATTGTGGGTTGAACCTGCGAATGCGGCAACCTGCTTTCCTGTATCTATTGGTTCAAGCAACACCTTGTGCTGCTCAATCAAACTGGAGATTCACAGATGCAGACGAAGACACAAAGGTGAAGGGGTTCATTGAACAAGTTGACGCCAAAATCAAAAGAAGCTGTGCAGCTAGAACAGCAACTCCTGCAAGGAATGCAGGAAAGCGCAAAGTTTGGAGCGCCTTGTAGAAGAGATGGTATCAGAGACGACGTCTCTAAGTTGATCCCTTTGATAGCTTTGCAACATCTTGTACGCTTCCGTTTCTCCAATGGCTTCCGTGAAGAAGCCGTTGAAGGCAGGCCGCATTTGGTGCAGTTGGCATATCCCGGCACAAAGCCTGAGGTACCCAAAGCGTACTTGAAGAAGCGTCCAAAGGTGGAGGCATCAGCGACTGGTGTGACTGACAACTGCAGTGCTTTTGAATTTTCGACTTTGAAAAAAGCAAATGTTTTGTAATGAACAGATGTGCTCCCAGGATTTCTACGTCCTCGGAGCCAGTCTTGGGCAAGGGGGCTTCGGGGAAGTCTTTGCCGCCAAGCGCAGATTGGACGAGGCAGGCAGAACGGAAAGCTGGCTTCGGAAAACCCGTTGCTGAAATGGAACGTTTTCAACGTCAGGTTGATGTGGCCATCAAATCTCTTCCCAAGCACGGTTCGAGCTCGCCTGAGAGGGAAGTGGTGTGAAACTCAGCAAGACATTTGGGCGACGCCGTATGCCAACCATTCCAGTCCAACCAAGCCGGATTTGATGACTCCCCTGAGGCAATGATGGAGCAGTTGGACCATCCGAACATCATAAAGATGCTGGAGTCCTTCAGCGACGCCAGGACGCCAACCACCTGATGCATATCCACACGCCATGGCGATGCTCCTTAATGATTCTAGGCGATTATTGATTGACCGGTTTGACATGTTTTGCCTGAAAAATGATGAAGATTGGCCGGCCCCAGCTGGAATTTTGTCGGGTCCAAAAAATCCCAACTGATGTATATCAACATAAAAAGGGCCCCGAGAAGATAGAAAACGCAACCCCTATTATTTTGTTGGTGATTTATTACTGGGCACCCCATAAACCAAAAATCAAAATAGATCAGAAAGCTCTAATTAATGACTCTAATAAGTACAATGCCCTGCTTTTGTGAGATGAATATGATTTTACCAGCTATTTTGATGCTCAAATACCAGGACTTTGACCTGTGCCGCCATCTGACAGGAAGCTCCCTGCGGCGCCGCAACAGCTCTGCGACTTGACGAGCCAAGGTCCATGGCCCTGCATGCTGTTTTTTTTCTGAACATGGCCGTGGAATTTGAATTCGGTGAGTGACGTTAATCCAACAGTGGAAAGTGTATCTCAGTCAGAAAGTCATTAGAAAGTTGGTAAAATGGCATGATGTCTGATCCAGGTCGTAGAGTATCATAACCCCCACGAAAACCTTTCAACAAACAGCCACTGAACATAGAGAGATGCATCAATGCGCCACTTCCGAGGCAATCTGATTTGTGCCTTTGCCACCATATCTTCCATTTATCGATGGCAAGGATTTTCAACAGCATATCAACTTCGACCGAGAGTTGTTTTTGAATCCATGTTGACGAAAGGTTCGGAAAGGCCCTAATGCCGGTTTGTGCTTGGCATAATCTCGCGCGTTCCACGAGAGCTCACCGAGACCGCTGTCGGGATGCCTAAGATGGGAGTGCAATTTGCTGTTCCTTTTCAATGCGTGGGATATCGTTCATGTTCGTTGATTCGTTAATGCGATCTTACTTCGTTAATGCGATCTTACTTGGCATTAAAACACCTTAGAAGATGTGACTTTGGAGCTGTGCCGCTCCGTTATGACATGGCCACCCGGAAGCCATTATTATTATCATTTCCTCTTCACGGCAATCGCTCTTTCGATCTCTCCCCTTGACTGGTCGCGTTTCATGGCGGCCTTTGCGATTTTGTGGTCGCTCGTGGTGTCCCAGGACCTTGATGATCCAAAAAAAACGCTGGGCGTGGATAAAGTGGGTACTGAGGAATATGAATGTTTGATAATGTTTGACTCTCGTAGAATTGCTAGGTCCATGGCTGAAAAATGGTTGATGAAGTTGATGAATGTTTTTTGCATAGGCGGCCACAATGGAACCCCCAGCATTGACAATGCAATTTCGAGTCCTGAAAACACCAAGCGGTTCTTTTTGTGTTTTGAGGATTCAAAAGACACGACACCAATCTTTTGTCTTTTTCTTTCATAGGTTTGGGTTTTGCCATGTCATGGGCCCTTGTGATTTCTTGTCTCCATATCATTACAAGGAGGCCTGCGCGGCAGAGCAGTGTGGTTTCAAGGGTGGGTCCAACACCGTGTCTAAAGATGTGGCCTCCATGGTCCAACTCAATGTTGGCCAGTCCTCCAGCATCAACACGATGGCCCTAAAGAATGGCGCCTATTACTTGGCAGCAGCAGGTTGCTCGATGGACCAATGGAAGTGAAGCCGGTGGATTCATCGCATGTTTGGACAGAGAACTGCAATCAACAATTCGACGATACGCATCATTTCAAGAAACACCCTCGTTGCATGCCAAAGGTAGCCTAGGCTACCTGAATTCCATGTACTTTAGTATATTATATAAAATGCATATGGGTCGGAAACACATTCTTTGCGGCTTTTCAGTCTTCTCACGCCCAATTTTCTTGATTGTGTCTGTGTTGGAAACGTCAAAAGGTTTGTGTGATTTGTTGGGCTTGTTGTGTGATTGGCTGCGGCGAAGAGTTGGTTTGGATCGTGTATGTGCTGGAGTCCGGGGGGCGGTTTGTTGGTGAGATGGGCTTGTATCCAGTGAAACTTGCAAGTTTGCCTTTTCTTTTTTTGTACAACATTGGTTTCTCATGCTGCATGTCGAATCGGATGGACAGATCGTTGAATGTGTTCTTTGTTTGTTCTTTGTTTGTTCTCTGTTTTAGATGGAGTCTCTCAGTCTCTTGAGATCGGCTCAGATCAGTTTAGGTTCTCTTGAACTTCAAGACGTTTGTGTCGTGTGTGAGGGATTCCCGACCGAGGCATAAGCTGCGATCAGCACTGCAATGACAACAGCCTGGGCACCTGTAATGCGGCATTGACCAACAGTGCCACTGCAGACGACCTGGAAGACCTGTCTCCTGGGTGCACTGAGGCCCAGGGACCGGACATTTTTTTTCCTGCCGTCCTCACTTTGAGGATTACCGCCGCCGCCCCCGAAACCGTCACATGCTTCACAAACAGCGCAACATCAACTACGTGCGATGCAGAACCTGAACAAAGTCCACCCAATGTGGACACTTTTGCTTTCCAACGAGTCTGCTACTGCGAGGCTGGTGGTGTTGATGGTGATCCCCATATCCACAGTTTGCGGGGAGCCCACTACACCTTGCTGCAGCAAGGCTTTTTCGTCGCCTGGAACTTCTCCAGGGCTGTGCCAGCATCAACTGTGCCAAGTGCAGCTCCAGCTCGTGGGTGGCAGCTCCTGGCGGCCTATGCAGGCCATCGCTTCACCACGCAAGGCCTGCTGCTTTTGGATCCCCACTCCGGGCAGTCCATGGAAATCACAGCAGAAGACTGCTCTTGGCGTGTCAAGGAGAAGAAAACCCCATGGCGCAAGGTGCAGGTGGAGTTGCTATCGGCAGAAGACGGGACGACCAGCCTCCAAGTGAAGAGGCTGCACGAGAAACTGGGTGAAACCAAGATCTTGAGGTCTGCAATCCTGTTGCAGATGGGGTCAGGGTCCGACATGAAGAACATCTCAACCCTTGTGGTCCATTGCAGGCCAAAGCATCACCTCGACTTCAAGGTAAGCATGTTCCAGAAGAGCGACATCGACCATGTGGGTGGTGAACTTGGAGTGGCTCCAGACGTAGACCACAACTACCACTTCTTGTTCAGCAAACAGGGCATGATGCGAATGAGAGCAGACCAAGAGTTTAAGGCTGGGATGACTCAGAGACATTTTGGAAACGACGGAGACACATGTCCAGACTACCGATTCCCAAAGAGACTAGTGACTACTACCATTGTTTGGCTGACAGCAGTTGTGGAAGGTACTATACTTTGAATGCATCAATACCACTGTCTTCAGCGCTACTAAGGGGCTTTTGGTACATGGGATACTCTAACAGGATTCCTGACACTTGAAGTATAGTATCCAAGATTTTCCCGAACACTTTTCCCTTCTCAGCTGTTCGTCAGAGCAGTCAAATCTATAGATATGTATAGTATCATGTATACATATGATTACATATGTATATATGTAAGAAGTGATGCTGGGTGTACTTGAACCCGGTTTCCATACCATTCCATACCATTCCATACCATTCCATACCATGCCATGAATTTTCAGAAGCTTTGTTTTGAGGCACCTGGATCGTGGGTGACCTTGGGTGGCAGCCCAGCTGGGGCCGCATACTTGGAGAAGAAACACCAAACAGGGACAAGTATGGTGCAGTCGCAGGGTTGCAGTGATGCTCAGGAGGACGATGCCAGAGCCATTTGTTCGAAGCACCTCCAGCAAACGACTCACCCGGAGACGTTTGCTGATTGTGTGTACGACTTATGCCATGGAGGTGATGAATCTTTCGCCCAAAGTGCGGCAGCATTCCTTTCGGAATCCAGCGCCTGATAAACTTTAGGCACGAAAGCAAGCCGCCGCAAATGGCTGGAGTGCTGGGATGCTGAACGCAAACGCGTGTACGTCCCAAAGAAGAAGTGAAAAAGACTACATTTGCCTGGCCGCATACTAAACGGGATGTTTTTGAATTAAACACAAAGATTTTTTGAAACGATGAACATCAGTAAACGCATTATAAACAGGGGGTTGGCGCGCTGGTGCACACTTCTGTTTATATACTTCTTGTTTTGATCAATTGGTTTCCTTACCATGGCAATGTGTTAAATTGTATGTGTTTGTGACCTGTCTGTGTGTGAACCTTTCATCAAGCCATTTCACTGTGATGATTTTGACATATTTTGACCTCAAAAATCTTGGGGTCCAGGTGAATCCAGAGCTGGGAACTCAGCTGTGCTGCCAGTCGTGACAGAGCCATGTCACTGGAGCCATGGAACTCAGCTGTGCTGTGGAGGCCACGGATGCTGAGGTCCTGTACACCTCATCCGCGCCACAGTGACTGGGCTCCGAAGTCGGAAAGTCGGCATCCAGGTAACAGAAACTGGAGATATCTGAGGCTCCCCCCATAGAACATCATGGAATATGATTTGATAGGGATAGTTGCAGATCGACGTGATGGTTGTCTCTAAAATTTTCAAAACCTTGGCACACAAGTTGGACTTCATGTGGAATGGTGACTTCCAAGAGTTGTGTGACAGGTGGTGTGGTTCACCCTATATAATGGCACAACATCACCAAGAAAAGCAAATTGCTCCAGGAAATTCGACTGCGCAGGTTTCGAAATACATCCCAAAAGTGACACTGTTTGCAAGCTGATGTGTGTTTTTTCGGAATGTTTGAAGAATCCAAGAATCCATGAAAGTCCTTCGACATGTGTCATGTTGAGGAAATTCCACTGGTTGATTCTAGCTATTTCTAGCTTCTGCCCAGGTGGCAGGAGCACAGACTACCCTGCGGCCTGATGCCTTCACAGGTGGGCCATGATGAAACGGTTTGAGGTTCGACACTTTCCTGATGCTGGATTTTTAAGCACTGAAACCACTTGACTAATCTGAATAGGTGTCATGATATGTCATGATGATTGACTTGTTGGTCCATCGTGATTTATCATTATTCACCCGATCTGAATGCGTTTGAAACAACTAAGCAGCCATCAAAAGGTAGAGATACTAGAAAGGAACAGACAGAGTTGGGAGGTAAAAAGGCGGAAAGGAGCGAAGCCACCACTCCTCATCAGAAGGGACACCACAACGATGACATGAGCATTCATTCGGGTTCTGAACCATGGGTTTACGCTGGGCGCCATATTTCCAATTATCTGGAAAGCATCTGTTGTTTGACAAGTTCAATGGTCAAACTGGTCACATCCGGTCATTTCGAAGAGTGGCAAGCTCCCCTGGCAAACATGCGCATATCCGATCATATTCACATTTTCAGAAGATAGGCTGAGAACTTCAGCTTTAAAATCTGAATCCATCAAAATCCTACAGCATGTGGATCAGGCACTTTTTTTGTTGTATAATTTTGTGCCATGGGCAGAAGATTCAGCAGAACACAGCAAACCTTTCTGAACTTTAAAAGTTTGGCCGGTGGGTGGCGAATTGGGTGCCACATTTCGTCCCAGATGCTGATCCCAGATGGTCAGATCAATTCAAGCTGAGACGATGAGATTAAGCGGCTTGCGCGGAAGCATTTTCAAATATTTTCATCTCACATTTGAGCACTGTGTTCATAGGACTGCAGATCACTGATGTCTTTGAGATGGAAAACCGAGTTTCTGAGGCGATCATTCGCTATTTCGGGCTATTTCAGCGGAGGTTCCACCTTTGTGACATCCTTAGTTGTCACGATCGAGCCCAGAAGTCTGCTGACGTTGGACCAACACCATGCCGCCACGGTGCAGGAATACTTCCCCTTGTGAGGGCAGGCAGGGCGCCCGGGCCCAGCCCTACATCACAAGGACTCGGTGATTTGAAAAGAGTCACTCTGGTTACTCTGGTTAGGAAGTTTTTCTGGATAAATTTGGTGATTCATTATGATCAGAATGATAACTCATACATACTCAGACTCATACTTTGATTATCAGCATATTTATTTGTGTTTATTACTTTTGTTATCTTTTGTTTATTATTGCTATTATCATTGTTATTACTATTATTATTGGAACTGTCACATGATTTCAGAATTATCATCGTAACTCATATGTTTCTCAGAATAACTCTAACCATTCAGAGCATGGTCAGCTAGACGTTGCTTCAGACTTCTCTGGGTCGGTTGAGCAACGTCGACGAAGACGGGCAACAACCATAGTAACCACTCACGAATCAGACTGGGCGGATACAATTTATAATTATCAGAGGTTTTCCCAGTCAGAGAGAGTTTCCAAATAATCAGTGAACTTGCACAAAAAAAATCACGGGGATTTTCAGAGGCCGCAGGGACCCGGAAGACCATTGATCATGACGCCGGGGGGTCCCAGTTGAAACGGGCGAAACGGGTCACAGGTTGGGGGAGCTGATCATCCAAAGTCCTCATCAATTTCTATAGCAGGATTGTCTCATCAAAACTATTCAAAAATCATACGCGTCATATATCCACGTTTTTTTTTCCAGTTAGAATCTAATAGAATATATAATACGTCAATGTCTCAAAAATACACATCAGTCTGAGCCTCCGGCTTTCATGCTCATGTTGCACTCAGAGTTTATATTGAATCTGAACTCCAGGCCGAAATGTACGGCCTGGATGGAGCAGACCTACAGCACTGTGGACCCGAAGAAGAAGCTGTGGTGCCGTTGAGCTGATTTTTGGGTTGGAAAAGATTGGAACATGTTGGAAAACCTTGGAGTTTTTGAAGAGTTTGATTGTTTGAGAAGTGGATCTGCAACAGAAGAGCTGAATGGAAGTCATTGTTCATATTGTACCGACATTTCGTTGTTTTGAAAGGAATCATTCTATCAAGGCCTGCAAAGCATGAGATTTCAAGGATTTCACCAGTAGGGCACCAGATCTATGTTAGACGGGCGGCATCCGTGGCATCCCTCACCTGTCAGATTTGGGCCGATGGAACCCGCTCTCACGGCTTGGCAGGGGTGAAGTGCTCAGACCTGGATTTTCCGGTGATTTCTTGGGATTCTGCGGCCATTTGCTGAAGATAGATCACAACAAAGATATTGGAAATTCCAGGGATATTTCGACTGCAGCTCTGCAGCTGACCTTTGTTGAAACAGGGAAGAGAAGACTCAACACGGCACGTCACAAGGGGCCACATGTGCCAAATATGCCACAAGTCTTCAGCGTTTGAGGCCGTGCCAGATGGTCATGGGACACTTTGGGAAGAGGCAGGGGGCAAGGAGTAGTTCAGTAGACTCAGTAGAGCTTGTTGGATGATCTTTCCATAGATGGATTTCCGATGTTTTCATGTGGCAAACAAGGCAGGAGATGTGGAAACAAGTTCAAGATGGAAGCTTGCGCAATGACCTTTGACATGTTTGGACGCTTTGGAGAGGGAAGATAAGCCATGTATCGTTTCTGAAATACTGAACAACTCCGAAGCACCTCTCACTTCTCTTATTGATCTTATTGGCAATAGGGGTTGCAGCATGTTGCAGCCTATGAAGGTGGTACCAGCAACCGCAAGCGCAACGGGCCAGGGACTGTGCTTCGAAGGCTGTTTCGAACGTGGCTTGCGGGCTCTCACTGGAAAGGTGACGCTGCGAAACGGTTCCTTGGGCACGGGGAGTTGCCGGAATCGGAGGAATGTGAAGCTGGTGAGTCGTGTCCCGTGCGACATTTCTTAAAAATCGATCATCATAATGATGATAGTAACAATCATAGTAATCATCATAAGGATGATCATCATCATCATTTGATCATGATGGTCAGTGATGGTCAGTGATGGTGAAGTTCCCACTCAAGTCCCTCTCATTCTAAGGCCGACCATTCTCCCCAATATATATTTTCAGCGTCCCATGGTACCATGAGGTGTGGTCTACGAGGGCGAATTCTCGCGAGATGGCAGGTGCCTGTCTTGGTGTTTTCTTGAGCTGCCAGAAATGGGCACCGCTGCATGTTCTGCCTTGTTCTGCCTTGTTCTTGAGATCAATCTCATCGGAATTCATTAGCTCAGGAAATAGATTAGGTGTGTCAGGCGATATTTTGATGGATCCTAGTCGACGGCACCTAGACATCCTGTCAAAAATAGTGCCCGCACCGCTGCATTGACACAGGTTCCAGGATTAATTTCAGAGACATCATCATTTCCATCACGGAAACATGGTCGGGTAGATCAACGGCCAATGATCTCGGACCCAACCGACCCGTGATCATCGATTCTGCTGTAAGGCCACATGGGGCACCACATGGGCATCACATGGGCATCACATGGGCATCACATGGGCATCACATGTCACATGTCTCAGCCCACAGCCAGATCTTACGTCGTATGCGTCGTATGCCTCCGGGCAGCTCCGGGCACGTCTGCCATGTCGTGCCAGCTAATAACTCCAAGCTTCGTGTGGCCAGAGCATAGATTCTTGAGGCTCATTGGGCATCATTGGGCCCGGGCCGGGATGGGGTTGATCGAGGGGTCAACGGATCGGGGACTGGCAGATCAGCAGTTTGACAGTGTGATGGCAACGGTTCGAATGGATCAGCCGGATCAGCCGGATCAGCACTTGTTTCAAGGTCAGCCCTGGCCTACATGTCCCGGGATGGACAAACAGTCGGTGCGGGTGGTCGCATTCTATCAGCTTGCGCTGGATCAGTTGCACCTCGGATCCAGCTTTGAACTTTGGTTGATAAAAACTCCTCGTACTGCGCATATCTGCGCATATAAACATGTCATCAAACATGGTTGGCTAATGGTTGGCTAATGGTTGCAATTGAGAAAAATACAGCATCCAACTAGAATTTGCTTGGCGAATGGTTCAATCTCTGGACTGTGCACCTTTCACCTGGCTCAATTTGCTCAGCAGCGGGATGGCCCTTCCTTGGCACCAGAGAAACTTTGAACGCATGGTGAACAGTTGACCCTGAACAGTTGCCCCAGATGGCAACAGGCGGTCCTGAATAACCCCAAGTCATGGACTTACACGGCTTATACCATTGATGCCCAGTAGCTCAAGAATTCTGATTTGAAGTCAGAAAAACTTCCCACCCTTTGATATCCTTTGCATACATGAAAGATTACCACAGAGCGAAGAGAACTGAGCTGGTGGTTTTTCCGAGTTGAATTAGCCTGAACCTTCTCCCAAGATGGCATGTTTTTCGCAGGGGAAGTTCCCTTCTCTGGAACATGTGTTAGTCTCGGGGAGCGCATGATGACACAGTCTAAAGCTGTTTTTTGCCATGCGCTTGGCGGGTTCCATGCGCATGTTCGTTATTTCTGTTCCTATGAATCTTTGTTGACACTGCCACCCAAGGCAGTTGGGCTGATAGTCACACCTTTGGATGTCGCCAAGGCCGTGTCCACAAGTTTCTATGTCAGGCTGTTGATGAGTGTTTGTAAGTGTAGTGAGTTGGGCGGATGGTGAAATCAATATTGCTAACAGCATGCAGACCTTCTGTTTTTTATTGTGAAGGATATTTTCATGATATTTTCTGTCTATTTTGTTTGCTAAAAGTCTAAAAGTGACGAATGATGACGTGCTTCTCAATTCCACCAGTGCCACCAGTCAAGGGATGCCCAGGTGCGAATGCAGGCCCAGGCGCGTCCCGAGAAATCCGCGCCGCGCATCGGCGCCCAGTGCTTTGCGAACGGCAACGGCAAAGGTCCCCGGGAGTGTCGTTTCTTCATCTGTGGCAACGGCATCACCGACCACACCTTTGATGCCCGAGACCGCAACTGGCGGCATTGCTTTGAACCCAAACATCGAGGCGATGATGGCGATGTTGGCCATGCTATGTTGACCTGTGAAAAGGGAAACAAAATGAAGCAACATGGAAACGATCTGAAAGAACTCCAGAGGAAAATCCAACAGAACAAGAATCCCAAGTTCAAGCGTTGAAAACTCGTTGATTTTGCAAAGAGCCCCTACAAACAGACCTCATCCCATATTTATGACTCATATGACATATCATTCACATCATCACATATATCATCATCATCATCATCATCATCATCATCATCATCATCATCATCATCATCATCACCATCATCATCATCATCATCATCACCATCACCATCATCATCACCATCACCATCACCATCACAATATATTCATGACATATCATCACATATATATCTCGTATCATCATTGCCAGGCCAGGGGCTGGTGAGAACCTTGCGGAGCATCTACCGCGAGGCGGGCGTCAGTGGACTCTATGCAGGGCTGCCGGTGACAATGCTCATCGCGGTGCCGGCGAACGTGTTGTACTTCGCCACCTACGAAAGTTTCAGGGATGCCCTGCAGCCCAGGATCCCCAACGCAGGCGACACGACCTTGCGAGGGCTAGACATCTGTGGACATCTGTGGACCTTTAGGATAAAAGAATATAAAAGATATAAACACTATTAAAAAGCTTCGGAAAAGTTTGGCATATTTGACTTGAAATCATCATATCATTATATTAATGAAAGTGGAGTTTTCATCACTTTTTTCAGATGTGATTTCAATACTGCACCCCAAACTTAATGCTCAGCATTTTATACCATTTTGCATATTTTGCAAGCCGTCTCGTGATGAATTCAATGACGTCCATATTTTTTCTTAGTTTTTCTCAGTTTTTCTCAGTTTTTCCCATCTCAGTCTGTCAGTCCTTGAGGCATTTGGGCACCTTTGCTGGCTGGCGGTGTGGGTCGTGCCGTGGCAGTCACCGCCTGTGCGCCGCTGGAGGTCGTTCGAACCCGAGTGCAGGTGCGGTTTATTGTGGGATACCATTGTGGATCCATTGTGGATCCAGAAAATTGCTGATGTTCTGTCATTTTATGTTAGGTTTTATGTTCGGTTTTATGTTAGGTTTGTTTATAAATATGTTAGGAATTTATATTAGGTCATTTGAATGCCCATCAGTTTTGGGCGATACTACCCTTGAATGGGATTTCAATTGACAATCTCATCAGGATCGCAGTTTCAATGGATCCAACCTTTGGACTTCTTGATGTGCCCTGCAAATTCGTCCAGCAAATCATACGGCATCAGCATATTCACATATACGGTGTATATGAAAAATGAATTTATATATATATATAATATGCTATAAGCTATATCGATTTCGCTATATTTCCGTTTACCACCTGCAGAATCTTTTTAGCAGGCTGGCTTTACCCAGGGCGATGCCGGACGCAGTGCATCCATTGGATCAGCTCTGAAGGTGGGTTGTGATGGTTTAGCACGGCTTATGGACAAATCTGGAAACAAATCAACTTGAAAAAAAATCAAAAAGTCCAGAAAGTGGGTAAGCTATGGTAAGCTCAGTTGATGTGCTTTGACATGATACAGTCTTCGAAGTGGAGGTGCCATGGGCTTCATATCAGATTTCAGGAAGGGCATTCTTCGAGTTGCCTTTCAACGACATAAAAGACGTATCAGTGTCCCTATCAGTTTTTCCCCTTGTTTTTAAGGGCCCCTCTCCAGGATATTCTGCAGAACGAGGGCCCTGGAGCCTTGTTCCGGGGCCTTGAGAGTACCCTTTGGCGCGACGTGCCCTTCAGCGCCTTCTATTGGCTCGGCGTCGAAGCGGTTCGTGATCGCTTCCTACAACATGGTGCCTTGCCATACCATGGGTATCCGCAGCGTCCTGTTGCTCCGAGCCAAGGTTTGAAAGTGAAACGCGATTGGGGTATATGGTTTGGGGGATTTTGGTGGATTATTAGACTAGATTGGACTGTTAGACTATCAACTCAAGTACGACTATGTGCTTGAAATGGATTTTGGTACTGCGATGGGGGATTTCGTCCTGTATTTCGCAGACCGGACATTGTTAAAATGGTGAAATAACATGGAGGTCACCACCATCACCACCTCAACCTCGGACCTTCACCCTAGGGGTAACAACAAATCAGCATGATGCATGGAACAACGTCACCAAACAACACTCCAGAACTTTGATTTTTAGTGATAAGGAATTTGTTCATGGCGCTTAGGGTTTGCCGCTGTTTCAGTGGATTTCTCTGTTTTTTCCTGTATTAACCTAGTATTCCTCTATTATTCCTCTTAACCACCAGTCAACCACCAGTCATCCAAGCTGCTTACCGAGGAGTCTGGAAGGATTCAATGTACCAATCGCCACTGATAGCCCTGATGGCCAGTTCCATTGCTGGGACAGCAGCTGCTTTCATCACCACGCCCTTTGATGTGGTGAAAACTCGGAGACAAGTTCAGCAAGTGGACTGAGACTCAGTGCCACCAAGAAACACTTTGGGAGGCTGTTGAAATCTGTTGAAATCTGTTGAAATCTGTTGAAATCTGTTGAATATCATCAAAGTCATCAAACAATAAAACCTGTCAAGACATATCAAGACATATCAAGACATCATCCGCTATGTTTTGCAAACAAAACGAGCGTGGTGATTCAAAATGTTGGCGTTCGATGCGCTTGAGGCCTCTCCCGGGCCGAAAGTGAGCTTGTGGAACGACCTCGTTTCTTTAGCACGCAGTGAAGGCTCACTGGACGTGAAGATCCCTAAACACCTTATTTCTTGATAGAGACAAATTCATGTCACAGAAGTCAGCCAAACAATATTTTATAACATTTTTACATATGTTTATAATATGTTTATATATTATGTTTTACAGGATGTCGAGTAGCCGCACAGCTTTTCCCAACGGAGGCACAGCATCGCTCTTTACCGGAAGTACTCCGCGGGTCGTGCGAGTGGCACCTGCATGTCCCTGGGCAGTTCAAAGGGCGACGGAACCAGAAAGATGACTTAGGGCCTAAGGTTAGTGGATTAAACTGATGAACATATATAGAACTATAGAACTTAGGGTTAGTGGATTAAACTGATGAAAATATATAGAACTTGATGTTTTGACATGATCTTTTAATATGCCCATCTAACATGTTCATCCTTCTGGAAAACCCAAGGAGCGGCTGGGTTTTCAGGGTGAAACATTGGACCTGGATGAGCAGGAAACAGTTGGAAACAGTTGGAAACAGTTGAACGCATAGAAAATCCATGGCTCTGTGTGGGGGACTTCCAGTAGCCAACATCATTATGCTACTTGACTGAGGCAGTATTATGCTAGGGCTGGGCACTCAGTCGACCTCAGTTGATAAGAGTAGAAGGATATAAGCCACTGTCACTGGAAACCAGATCTCAATTTAGGTGATGCACTGCTGCAATCATTGCAGTGTCATTTCTCCAAAGACAGCTGCATGTGTCTTTAGTATCAATATGTTTCAGACAGCTTGCCATCAAAAAATCTTTGATCTTTGATCATCTTTGATCTTTGCGAGACAGGACATATGAGCTTACAAAGCAATGGCTTCTGCCTAGTCGCTGATAGCACACCGCTGCCACCGCGCTGCGTACGGCCCCCGGTGGGGCGATGTTTGCCGCGTCAGACATGTACGGAGCAGCGCCAGGGAGCGGCATTGGCAAATTGCAATCGCAGGCTTTTTGGATGCAAACAGTGGATGCAACCACTGCATGTACATGTATACATACATACATACACATATATATATATAATATTTTCAGATTATAATACACTTAGAACTACAGATTTACTGCTGAGTACTCAATGTTTGGAGATGTTTTCCATCCAATTGGATCGAATTCGATGGTTCTAGCAAGAATACTCACACCTATGTTCACCTCTGATATTGAATCTGAAAGGTTGAAGTCCAGCTTGAGTTGAAATGGTGTTGCATGCAAACCAATTTGCCATCCGATTGTTTCCAACAGATTGAGCATTTTGATGCATTTTGCACTAGGACATCTTTTGCAAACATTGCACTGCCCTCACCCGAGGGCCATGTTGACTGCATTGCAACTTGCAGAAACGTTTTGCACAGCAGCTGAATACAGCACATTGCATGTTCGAAGGACCGGGTGTGTTTGAACGTGTCCCAGAATCCGAGCTCATTTTTTTAATAGCACAAGAATATTGTTGCGGTTTTGGGGTCACCTGTCATTGTTGAAATATGCTGAAATCATCACAGAATTCTTGGACATGATATTTCTCTCCAACTTTTGTGGTATTTTGTGGTATTTTGGCTGTTGGAAATTCTTGTGCAGAAATTCTGCAGAATTCTGGAACAGGGCCACCACAGTCTTCGGTCAGCCGACATTTTCGGGCAGAAGCCGCAACTCTCCGACGCAACTCTGTCGTCGTAGTTGCGCCACCGGCCTCAACCGGCCCCTGCGCCTCCCTGGACGCAAAAGATTCGGCGGGAGAGAATAGATGGCAACTCCTTGTAGGTTCTGGAACAACTAATTACATTATATTACATTACACTACATAGCTACTGTGCAATCCAATCATTTCATGATATTTGTGGATATCATTCTCTTTCTATCTCATTCTATCTCATTCTATCTCATTCTATCTCATTCTATCTCATTGTCAAGGACTATTGTTGATTTGGGTCTGGATTGATTTGCAATATGCCCAAATATGTTGTGTGAAATGCAGTCGATATGATCGGCAGGTTCACTTCCCCATCTTCATGCATTGCATATCAGTGTCTTTGTCCAACAAGAGTGGTTGATAGACAAAACTCCATTCAAACTGCTTTGATTTTGAATATGTCTGAATCATATACATGTAATATATGTGTAGTTCATTGATATTTTCTCATTTATCTCATCTAAGAAATATCTCATCTCATTTATATACCTCATGTATATCTCATCTCTCATATTATACAGAAATATATATATATATATGTATATATATATATTGTATATATATATATGTATCATGATTCATCACTACTACGGCGGCTTCATCATACCACTGAGCTTTCTGAGGCGCCACGACCACGGCCGGAGATTCCTGCGGTGCGGCTGGGTGCGGAGCCTTGGGGCTCCAGCAGACTCCATCTGGGAACGGGGACTCTGTGGGAAATGAGATAACTGGACCAATTGGACCAACTGGACCAACTGGACCAACTGAGCCAGGCATTCGAATGGGTAACCTCGGCATTCTACTGGAAATCTGTCAGAATCAGCTTTTTGTGAGCAGATAAGATAAGAAACACTAGGGAAAGATCAAGAAACAAAAGCTGTGGGCGAGCTGAATACCTGTTCAACGGTTGTTCGAGGTGAAAACTAACAGAGAGATACTGGAGTAGCTCATGGTAGCGAGGGCCTCCTTTAAAGAAAGGGAACTACCCTGTGAGTTCACCCAACTACACCAACTACATATAGGACTACATATAGGATAGCTAGGGAAGCCAACCCCGGAAAACCCGGGATGTCTTCAAATTCGTCGCCCTTTGGCTCCAACCTGTTGAGTCATTGCCATGTCGAGGCCGGACCGGTTTCTTGATGCCGATCCACATCGCATGTCCAGTCGTGGTCATATCACATTTGTTACTGGTTGAGTTGATATCGTTCTTTTTTTTCGCATGTTTATTGATCTTTAAATTCCATGTGTTGCTGGTGCAATATGGCATATCAATGTCTATCATGGATGATCATTCATCTAATATCATCTAATATCATCTAGTATCATCTAAAATCTAACATCATCATCATCATCATCATCATCATCATCATCATCATCATCATCATCATCCAATATGGTATTTCATGGTCATCTAATTATCATCCATCTAATGATGACCATTGATGGCCAAAAAATCGAGGCAGCTGCGACGAAGAAGGCCCTTTGAGAAGACCCGGCAATGCGGTGAGAGCTTTCTGGGTGGTGAGGCTGACTGGGCAACGAAACGTGGAGAATCCACGGTGGCGGTTCGAACATGGAAACATGCGGAAACTCAGAGATTTTCATCCTTTGGACCATTTTAGACCATTTTAGACCATTTTGGACCATTTTAGAGAAAAATCCATGAAGGGCCAGGAATTTGGAAGATCTGCACCAAGATGTGAGTGAAGTCTCAGGTGGAGTTGACGACTGCGGACGTGTTCTGGAAGATCTACAGCTCCTTGAAGGCGCTGTTCTGATCATTGGGAGCACCATCACAAAGATGCACCATATCCGCAGCATATCCACAGCTCCCAGCACCCATCAAGCAACTAAGTAATGAGACAATCATCATGTTTTAATGCACTCATTTCAGAAATGATCAGCAAAGTGGGATTGATCTTTGATTTAAGGATTAAATGATATTAAATGGATAGAGGGATTAACAATTGATTAAAACATATTAAATCCCAGTTGTTGATCCCAGTTGATCATCGCACCACTCGGTTGAGTCCACAACTTTCTTCAAGGCCTCGGCCGAAGAACTCTCAGAGACCTTGAAGAAGGTGTCACAGGCGATGCCGCTGACAGTGATAGCCATGAGGGCATATGTTAGATATATATATATTTACCTATTATAGATATGTGTAAAATAGATAAATATGTATCTATGTATATATATATATATTCACATATGTATCTATTTTACACACACACGTATATATAATATATATATATAGTTTTATATTTCTAATGTATGCATGACAGATGATATATGATCTCAAGAGTCAGATTAAGAAACGAACAATCATGATATATGACATAGAGATGAACATGCCCTGTATGTATATATGTATATATGGTGTATATACGTTATAATACCTATGATCATATACATTGCACCTGGAAGTATGAATGACATGCAACCAACGACCCCTATGAACACATCGGCGGCAAGAGCAGCTTTCAGAGGCATTGAGAGAGCACAGATTCTTCAATGTTGAATGTTGAGCATGAGAAGTAATATCCCAGACACATCTCCATTCTATGAAACAACAACAATTCCGAGTTTTTTTCGCTGCAGTCCTTAACAAATAATTCACCAACGATCCCATGTTTCTTCTTGCCGTTGTTCTCATTAGTTCCAACACGTTCCAACCGGTCACCAGATCTCTGACAGGAGAGGACCCCATGCGAAGAGGATGAACCTCCTGAAACGGTGCAGATACGGCCCTATGCCTCCGTCCCCAGGTGCGGCCATGATGGCCATGGGCCATGGCGTTTTCACCCCATGAATGAAACATATCGCCATAGTATTTGATAGTACAAAAATGATATCTGGAAATTGGATGCATCATAGTGGCCCATAGCCCATATAGCCCATGTAACCCATATAGCCCATATAACCCATATATAGATGCCCATTCATCCAATCTGTGAACTATGGCACTCAAGGAGACTTGAGCTGTACGTGCCCTGGAAGAGCTTACAGCCTTTCGCGCAAGAGATGGATGCGCAGGTGACGGCTGTGCTGGCGGATTGGGACTGGGACGAACCCAATGGCACCCGTCCTTCATTTGGTATTGCTAGTCTATGTAAACATAACTGTATATATAATAATATATATATACATATAATATAATATAATATAATATAATATAATATAATATATATGCATATGCATATACATATATATAACTATGAGTTGTGTTGGGGTACAACTCTCAGACCATCGAAGTTCACTCTGAGTGCAGCACAATGCAGATTTTGGCGAGCTGATCAGGTTCATTTAGCGAGCTCTTCCCACGTGTTGTTCCCATCTCTCTTCAACTTTGTGTCGGGCTTTGTGGCTTGGCAGGTCATTTGTAGCGAATGTCACTGCTTGAGGTTTGCCTAAGGATGACATGAGTAATGAGTAGTGTAGGGTCAAACAACTTGTAGCATGTGTACCTAGAATGCGGATTCTAAGTATATGTGCTGAGACATCTCTCAATATCACTTCGAGTCAACATTTACCCAACAAAAAGATCAAAGCCCAGATGTTGGTTGTTGGGTTGTTGGGTTGTTGGGTTCCTTTTCGCCCTCCATTTGGGGGGCATCATGGGGCATCCCATCTCCGAGATCTCCGAGGAAGGCGGCGTCACCTCCTTTGCCGTGCTGCAGCTGACGGATGCCCATCTGGTAGGCTCCATGTTGCCCCTCTCTGCCTGGGACATTGGCGCAGTGGTCTCCTGGCGTTTCCACGGTGGACATAGAAATCTGAAAATCCCATGGAAATCCCATGGAAATCCCATGGAAATCTGGAAATCCTTTGGATTTCTGATGGTTTCTGAGGCTTGTGATGACTAATATGACCAGTCAAGAAGTTCCAATAGAAGTTTCCATGGGTTTGATGAATTTGGAACTGAAATCCATCTTTGAGATGTTGGATCGGAATCCCTTGGGGAACAGATGAAGGTTTTATAGGAGGCTGAAGGATTACCCCAGCTGAAAAGTTGATCATAGTTGATCTACTTGGGTGGAACACTGTATCAGTCACTCAGTCACTGTATCTTTTGCCGGAGAAAACACAACTTCTTTTGGGGACAACTCCTGATCCATGGCAATGTTGAGCCCGAACATGTGCCGAACTTTGGTTCATCCATGGGGTTAACCCATGGTTCCACGGTTAATCCATGAATTCATGGAGTCAGGTGAGCTCACGCGTTTGTGGCGCCCTTTGTGGTTCAACGCTCTTGCTATGTAGCTCCAAGGCCAGGATCGTACACATGGAGTCAAGGTGAGCAGATTGTCTCATGGTAGCCTTGTTTGATCTCCGAAATCGGGAACATGGCATGAAAATGACGTGGTTACATCCGATTTCCCCATGGATTCATAGCAGTTTTGGGGTATTTTTTTGATCCATTTTTGGAGAATCCCGGGGATGAAGAGTTGAGTGTCGATGTCCAATTTTAGCTTTGGGTCATGTTTTTGGGCAAAAGATAAAACAAAAGCAATGGTTTTTGGAAGTTTTTGGCTATTCATAGAGGTATTCAACATGTTAAAACCCCTGGACATGGTCTGTTCCCCAATGGGCCAGGAAACCTCCAGTCGAGATGTCCTTCTGTGGACTGCAGTGGGCATCACAGTAGCTACCTGAGATCTTCGCAGAGTTCCATCATGTTCCATCCCGTTTCATCCTGGCACCGTAATTTAAAACAGTGAAGATGGACAGTTCTGGCATTCCACTTCTTGCACTTCTTCCACTTGTACTTCGGAGATCTTCGGAGGGTCAAATGTGAGACATTCGGAACTCCTGTGCCCAGGCCATCTCCCTTGGAACTTTCTTCGCAGATCGCAACACTTTGCTGCTGCTTCGCTTTCTCGCCGGCCTCGCTGAAGGCAACGTGAAACGTGGAACAGACGTGGGAATGAACACAGCAGGGATAGAACAGACAGGTGGTCCTTTTGTGTCACATCGGTGACCTCTCGAAACTGGCTATGCCTCAAATGACCAAAAAACAAGCGGTTTTGGGACAGTCTTGATGATTACCTTCCCATTGGATATCAGGATTTTCCACAGGATTCTTCTATCCACCATCCACCCCAAAATCCACGGAAAAAACTCAGCAAAACTTTTTCCCCAATTTTTTTTCCCCAAGATCCATCCGGAATCCCCAAATCCTCTAGGCGTCTCCTCACCTGCCAAAGCCGCATACGTCGTGGAGACCGTTGAGGCGGAGCTTCGTGGTGCCTCCAATGGGACGCGCTGGGCCGCCTTCGCCGTGGGCTCCTGTGCACCTTGGATTCCTTGGATGGGGGATTTTTTTTGGGAAAAAAAGGGAACATCCAGTGAAAGCTAGGGATGATTCATGGAAAATCATGGAAAACTGGAACACATTATTTTTTGTCATTGTTCTAACAAATTTTCTGATGATGTGGGGATGAACAGCTATGAAATACCGTAATACATCGTAATACCAGACCATTCGACATGATTGTAGAATAGGATGAACATCCGCAGGGTTTTGGCCGCCATTGTAAGGGGTGGCCATTGTTACCATGGGAGTCCCACCTTGCTTTGTCTCCGTTGTTTGATGTTTGGATGCTAGTTGACATGAATCATCCTATATTAGGGATACAATGTTGTTACAACACGTAAATAGCCATTTTAATTGAAGAATTATGATCAATCTGAAGATTGTGGACGATTTTGAGGTATATTTTCAGAGAACCTGGCAGTTGAGGCGGGTGTGGCAGCTGGAGCTTTACTCCAACCCATTCCAGGCTCCTGGCAGGTCTGGTGTCCGCCTGGGTAGAGGTCTTTTGGATGAATCAGGACTTTTACGGATTCTTTTCCAAGAGCAGATGTTGTTGCAGTTCTAAAACCAGACAGATTTGGAGGTGGAAAGAATGAATCATAATGAATCATAGACCATGGCAAATGACGAACATGGGTGAACCATGGTGAACCAGCTGCCATTTTTCGTGACTTTGCCGCAGATGATGTTTGGTGTCTGCGCTGTTCCGGCAGCTGTTGCTGGGGCCAGCAGCTCAGTCGATGTCGTCAGTCGATGTCGGCAGATCCGGTGGGCTCCGGTGCGCCCAGGCTGGGATGCTGATGTTGCCCCATTCTCCCAGATGGCTGGCACATGCCGATAGCATCTCGGCTGTGGATGCGGTGGTGACTCTGAAGCCTAAAAAAACAGTGGCTGGCACTGGCACTCGTCGTTTTACGCGCCAATTCGCGTCATGATTTGAATATATCAGTTTGATAAATCATGATAAATCAACTTATCATCGTTTCCATATGTTTCCATTGTACAATTGTACTACCTCTTCAGCTCCTGCTCACAATAATTTTTCAATCAACACAATCATCATCATTTGATAGCCATGTTTTTGGCATTTCTAATATTTCTAATATTTCTATTGATCACCATCATATTCCACCATATTTCATTCTCCCTGGCAAGGTGCTTCATTTCCTCATTCTCCCTGGCAAGGTGCTTCTATTGCCTCATGTGGCCTCCGGGGCGATAGCCAGTCCCTGGCACTCGCTTCACTCAAGGCTTGGAACAAACGAGTTTCGCCAGGGATCTCAGATATCAACAGATCACAGATCCGCAGGTTCTAAGACCACGAAGAAAAGATGAAGAGCTTCTGACAGAGCTCAGTATCATATGCCAAGGCAGGGACAAGCCTTGGCTAAGCCTTGGCTAAGCCTTGGCAGGAACGTTGGAAACACTGGAGTCTTTGTGAAACCCAAAGTTTCACCTGGATCTCTGGAACATTCTGGAACTGTAGATTCAAAATCTCTTCAAATCTTGAAAAATCTGAAGAGTCAAATTTTCTACACGATTGAAACTCCCGAAAAATACACATCCATCGCTCTCCATGTGGCCGTCAGGTAGTCGGAATACGGAAACCCCCAACGCGGACGTTTGGGACTGCCATGTCTAGCACCGTTTTCACTGCCAACATTGCTACGGTGAACATCGGTGAACCGATGACATCCTTGACCCATCAGCATGATCAGCTCAGTTCCCAGGAGATGTTGCGACATCCGGCGACCGAAATCAGTGCCATGCTGAATTTCTTCAAGTGCCCTGGGTTCAAAAAAGCTGGGCAGCGCCGCATCAAGTTCATAAGGACCTCAATGGCAGGGCCTCTGGCCTGAGTGGTTTGATGTTGCGAGGTGTGTAGTTTTGCGGGGCAGTGGGGTTGTATAGCCCAAAACCTTTTTCCTTTCGAGATGCTGCAAGAGTCTCTTGCTTGGTGCATGCAAAGCCGACACGATACTTTACAAGTCCAAATAAAAGTCGGGTTGAACGACCTCTTTGGACACAAAATCCAATCGCGCCAGCTTTGAGAGCTCTACGTTCAGTGCCTCATGCTGGAACGGAGCGGCAAAAGTCTGCAGGGCGAAATCCGCCACCGCATTGGCTATCTCAAGGTTCATTGCCTCGGGATAAATTTTTGCAATGGCAGTACGGTACTGCCCGTCATCGTTCTTGCCCTTGAGCGCAACATGGAAACCTGCTGGATGTGCGCAACGGCCACCACGACCCATGCGAAGAATGCGATCACGTAGATGAGGAAGACATATCAGCATCAACGTGGTGGGTTTACGCGCCTGGCATCGAAAGATGCATTGGTCAAAAGTGACCACAGACGCGCAATTGAGCCGTCTGAGCCATCGCATTGCCAATGAAGACCACGTGCTCGAAGGTCTCAAATGTCTGGCCCATGTTGGGTAGGACGGATGCTCGATGAAGGCGCAGCCACCATAGCAGGCACAGAGAGCGACCATCTCGGTGATGAACTGCATGAGGACCGTGCCTAAAAGCGTCTGGCGCCACTGCCGCTCGTTGTTGCTGGGCAGCCCGAGCGGCTCGTCGTGGGAACGAAGTGGGGGGGGGCCGCCCTGAAGGAGACAAGCAGCAGTGAATGTCTCGCAGGGCGGCCCCCCGCCACACCCAATGATAGCTCCAGACTTAATCTGCTGTGCCCAAAAAGTGCGACTCTTGGCTGTTACTAAGTTCCCTTCTTCCCCTTGCAAACAAAAGTCAACACTCAAACAAAACAATTGAGTATGGTCCTGAATGAAATGTGACTCAATTTGATGCTGCAAGTCGCCAACACGGCGGTGTCCTGAAAAGAAGTGGACGAAGCACAGCGTCTTGATGTGCAGCTGGGCAAACAGTCTCGCGAGCCCACCCATCGAGAAGGCCCCATCAATGCCGTGTTCAGCGCCAGCCGCAGAATGCATGATAAAAGAAATATCTGCATCACCAGGTCCTGGAGGCGGAGGTACTTGAGGCAAATCACCTTCGCTGGCAGGAACTGGGCAAACACCTTGGAGACCGTCAAAAAGTGGACCACCAACAAGGCCACGTCGTAATGTCCAACGCTGCAACATCACACGTGCCTCCTCTGATCCAACAGGTGGCAACCCAGGCCCAAAGGAACGGCACACTGGAGCCCGAGCTTTCGTGGGTAGCCAGCCTTGGTCTTTGAGTGCACGAGCCTGAAGTCGATCTTCGATGTTTCGGGCATCAAGCTCAGATCCTGTCAGCGGAGGGAATGAGGCACGAATGTGCTCCAAACAGTCGTTTGCTACTCGCAGATGAGCACAGAGGCGTACTCTGGAATGGTAGTCTCTTGTGCAATGCGAGCAAGTACCATCAACGGCAAAGTGCTTGACCAGGGTTTGATAAGAGTGAACTTGTGCAGCATGCATCGCAAGGGCACGCTTGGAGGCAAAGTGCCTCTCACATAGTTCGCAAATCCATGGCAACGCCGGGGCTGTGGGAGACAGGTGCCCAAAATTGACTCCTCTGCTGCAAAACAAATGCAACATCCATGATTGCCAAACATCTGTGTCTGCGTGGGTGCCGCGATAAATGCGACATGATTTCACAGCACGTTTCAGTCTGCCCTTCCACTGGCCATCAGCAGCCACAAAAACGATCCAATCTTCAAGGGTGGAGTCTCCGGTCAGGCCAAAGTGAGTGGCACTAAACCGTGCAAGCCATGCAAAAGAAGCACGTAGATGAAACATCCAGGAGTCTTCAATGGTCTCAACATCCCGAAGATAGGCCCACAAAACTGCTGGACAGTGGGTAAGCAGTCTTTTCACATACCTCAAACGGGCAAGGTGTAGAGCATCACGGGGAGTAAGAAGTCCACAAAGGCCACATAGAGTGGAAGTCGAAAAGGTGAAAGGCGGAAGCCCACGCAGCTTAGCCTTCGCTAGAGCATAGAGCATTGGTCGCAAACCGTTCTCCCAAGCGTCCAAGGCCTTCTGTGGCAAATAGCTCCACGTGTGCACATTGAAAAGGAACCGGGAAAGCACCAGAGATTCAAAAACTTGGAGTTTCGTCTTGGCTTCAACGCACCTTTTGGCAAACAGTGGTCTGACCAGGGGGCCCCAGGCTTTGCGTGCAGCAGTGACGCGGTCGCGAACTGCATGCATAGGCTTACCGTCATTGTGGACCCACGTTCCAAGGTGCTTGTAAGAAAGGACAACCGGCATAGTGATGACATCATCCTTGTCAGCGCGCTGGCATGAGATCGTCTGACCTGCTTGATGAAAGTCTTCTTTCCAGCGTCGAGTCTGCGCCCCTCTGAGAGCCAGCAAGAGCTCCGTTTTGCCAGCCCCAAAGGTGAGTTCAAGGCCACGACATGCGGTCGCCTGTAGCGTGGCAGACACAGCTACCTTGGCCATGTCGACTAACTCTTCATTGCTGGGGGCGCGTAAGAGCACAGCAAGGTCATCAACATAGGCAACTTCTGCCCATGCCATAGGCGCAAGAATGGTAGGATCACAAAAACTGTCAGGTGGACGGGGATCACCTTCCCACTCTGCCGGCTCTGCTTTCATAGCGCTGGTGATGTCCTTTAGAATGACTGCCATCGTAAGATTGAAGGCAATGTCGCCAATGGGATCACCCGGGCGAGTTCCTCGATGCGTAGCTGCAACCTCCTCAATGCCGTCAACCTCAAAGCACGTGGCAGTCAGCACGTCACGCAGCAGCAACGCAGCATGCGGTGAGATGTTGGTAACCGCACAATCATTTTGTGCTTGACAAAGAAGACGGTCAACATGTTCAGGAGCAATGCCAAGTCGGTGCATAGCCACCATGAAGCCTGTGGCGTCGACTGCATCTGCGAAGAGCCCTTGTCGTAGAACAGTGTAAAACGCAGACTTAAAGTCGACGAAAAGCACAGCAACTGGGTCTTTTCGCATGGCTCCATGTGCAAGATGTGCTTGGACTAAATGATGCGCTGAATCGCAGCCAACTTTCTTGCGCCCACCAAATTGGATGTGTTCTAAAACTGAAGCCCATGCCCAGACCAAATGCTTTCGAAGCATGGAGTGGTAGACCTTGGTACTAAAGTTGTTCAGGAAGATCGATCTGTAACCCAAGGGGTCAGAGCGGCTGCTTTTACCCTTATGTAAGGGAATAAGGCGGCCTCCCTTCCATGACACAGGTTCGCGACCTTGTGCTGCTACTTTGGAGGTAAGCACAATCAGGTGCTTCGCCAACGGCTCTGCACCGGCCTTGAGCACATCAGGTGGAATGCCGTCTGGACCAGGGGCTTTTCCTCGACGAAGTCCATGGATCTGTGCTTGAACTTCGGCCAAGGTAGGGATGGTCGCAAAGTCAAAAACATCCGGAGCAATTCCAAGGTGGGCTGGTTGTAAACGGAGAAATTCACTTCGTCCAATCACATTGGCAGCCTCGACTTCGGCAAATTGACGCAGCCAAAGGCGCTGCTGCTCAACGAATGATGTGACCGGCTTCCCTTCATGGCAAATCAATGGTAATGGGCGAATCGCATCTCCCTTAGGGCGGCGACCACCAAGACGTCTAAGCAACTTGTGAACCTCACGACAGTCATTCAAGCTGCCAGCCGCGGCAAGCTGAGCGACCAGGTCTGCGTAAAAGCGTCGCTGATCGGCTCGGACAAGACGGCGAACCTCGCTTTCAATCTCCTTGAGCTGCGCCTTGAAGTCATCATCCTGCATGAGTCCATTACGCCGGCCATAGTCCAAACAGGTTCGCTTGAAGGCAATAAGGTTGAGCGTTGCTTCTGCCAACCGAGGGCGGGAGCGTCGCTTGGCTTTCCTGGTGAAGAACTGTTGTGCCAGGTTGAGCACGGCGGACTCAAAATATGCTGCATGAGAGTCAACATGAGTGGACCACGACGGAATAGGCAGAGAATGAACCGCTTCTTGGAACTGATGGCAAATGTCAGGATCAATGAATGCCAAAGGGTCCCAGAGCGGTTTGCGATCATCAACACCACCTTCGATCCAGCCACTCACGTGCAGAAACAGCGGGATATGGTCCTCATGCGCAAATCCTCCATCATGATGCAGTGCCGTCCAACTTCTCGCTGTGAGGGCATGCGCAGCAGCTGAGCAGAAGATGTAGTCGCGGCGCAACTTGGTGCCCTTGGGGTGCGTCCAGGTATGGTGCGGTCCACTATGACACCATGCAAAAGTGGACGGTACCGCCCAATTCAACTCTTGAAGTGCATTTTCAAGAAGCTCACCCTGAGGGTTGCCACGCTCGGCACCAAAATCTCCATAGAGTTCAGTTACCGCACTGGCCAACGGTGCGTTAGCATCAGCAAAGCACCATGTTAAAGCTGCCACATTTGCTCGCCGAAGAATAGTGGTAGTGTGCATCCACCAATTCTGCAGGTCCTCAATGGAAAATTGAGCGGTCTTGCATGGGACATGTAGCACGACAAAAGAGAGAGCACAACGTCGATGAGTGAGATTGACAATCAGGCGTCGTGGGTCTGCATGAGCAACGACAGCTTTGAAGTCCTTGAAGGTAAGGGTCCCGTTGGGAACCAACGGCCGAGTCTTGTGGAGCCAAAGTTCACAACCAAAATGGTGAGCACGTTCGCAGATCTGAGGGCCTGAGGCAAATCCGAAGTAATGGTCCGTGACAATGCACCCTTGAGGTCTGCGAGTTTCTTGTAATCCAGCAGCAAGAACGCAAGCACTGTTCCATTGATGATCAAGCCTCAGTGCCCGATCTGAAGAATGCTCAGGCGGGAGACTCTGATCTTCCTTGCCAAGT